GGAGGAAAATAGCGGGTCCGGCAAGTGCGCACCGGACTACGTCGTGACGGCAGTGAAGTGCAAAGGCCGTTACTGCGACAGCCTCCGTTTGCGTTGCAATAAGCTCAAATCAGGAGGCCGGTGGACCTCCGAAGAATACGAAACCTCAAAATTCAGCTCCTCGAGGCGGCAAAGTGGGATTGGGGAATGCTACAAACCGTCGACTTCGGTGATCGGGATCAAATGCTTCGGCGATTATTGCGGTCAGAAGAACTGGCTCGGACTGGACACCAACGCGGTATGGGTGGACGCTGGACCGAGCGACAAAAAAGAAAAGCCGCGCTGTCATGTTGCTCGCTCTTCTCGCGACCCCTCAAACGCTGCTTTCGCCGCCACTGGACTGGGTCCGTGAGCTCACAATGATTCAGGCGGAGTCCGGCATTGGCCATGATGCGCTTCACGCGCCTGTCGACGTGGAAGCTGCTTATCTGCGGATGCTTGCTGGCCTTCTAACGAGCTCTTCGCTCATGTGTGAAGCCGCAGTGACGCAGGCTAAATATCTCACGTGCATGAAGATGTACATTCAGGGCGGCCCATGGCCCAAGCTCGGCACGACGATGGCCGGCCATAAACGTTTGCAGAACGTTGCCACGCTCCTCCTCAACGCGCGCAGTGCCGACGTCGCTGGAAGCTACGTCGAGTGCGGCGTGTGGCGCGGCGGAATGTCCATCTTTGCCAAGGCGGTGATCGAAGGTTTATCAGATGCAGCGGCGCGTGTACCTGTGTGACTCGTTCCAGGGGCTGCCTCCACCTCGTTCAGGTAGCCTGCGACCGGATGAGTCCATTTACGCGTCGAAGAGTCTCAACGCCACGCTCGCCAAGGGCGAGGACACTGTGACGCGCAATTTCTACCGGTTTGGAGTGTCTATGGAGGGGGTGCGAATGGTGCCGGGATACTTTGTTGACTCGTTGCCGGGGCTGCGTGCCGAGCTCAAGGGCCGCGGCGAGCGGCTTGCGCTGCTGAGGCTGGATGGCGATATGTACGACTCAACCATTGACATCCTTTACAACCTTTACGACCTGGTCGAGGTCGGAGGGTTCATCATCGTTGACGATTTCGGCTGGCACGAGGATCTCATGGAGTCGTGGGGCGCGAAGGACGCGGTGCTAGACTTCCGCGCCGTGCACGGGATCGAGGACGACGCGCACATCTTCCACAACATCGACGACGCTGGCGCATGGTTCCGCAAGGCACGCAACGTCGAGATCCGCCACCATCAGTACAAACGAGGCGTCAAGGACGGCAACTACAGCGCACTGCGCCCAATGCCATTGCTCACGGCAAAGGACTATGCGCGCCTGAGGCACAAGTGGGATCGGGCAGGGTAGAGTTGTGCGGCGGTGTGCACCCGCCCTCTTTCTCCGGTTCGATTTCAAGCTGTGTGTGTGTGTGTGTGTGTGTGTGTGTGTGTGTGTGTGTGTGTGTGTGTGTGTGTGGCGCGTGCTGTGTTTGTGTGGGTTTCTATTTGGCATTTCCATTTGGCTTGCGTTCAACATAGACAGCCCTTTCCCCCTTTCCCCACACCGCGTCGTACTCTACAGCAGCAATTGAGAGAGAGAATCGTAACAGCTCAGGCTTTCCAGTTCAAAACATCAGAGGGTTTTTTGTTCCAGCACCACCTTGAGCACAGCATGGTGACGGAGAGAGCGCGCACGCACAGGAGGACGTCCCGCTCGGGCACACTGATCACCACGAGGAACATGGGGGGAAAATGCACATTGCGTTTTCGGGCACGCGTCGCACAGGAGCCACTGATCGGCCAGCGATGCAGTGCACACCCCGAAGGAAAAGGGATGAAAAATTTGAGACTCGTCCGAGCGCTCCGGCATGGCATCGTGCGCTAGAGCCAAGGTCAGCGAAGCAGCGACGCGCAGACCGCCTCTCCCGCCGCCGTTGCAACCTCGTGAGCAGAGACCACTCTGCCATCAGACAATGTTGCGTGTGTTTTTGCGTTTTGGAGAAGAAAGACTTGCACGCACGCCGCGTGGCCCTGGTGAGCAGCGACGAGAAGCGGCGTGACTCCTTCATGCGTGCTCAGCTCGACCGATGAGGGGCACGCAGCCACCAAGACTAGGACGCAGTCCACATGGCCATTTTG